GCTGATACCAAGGGCTCAAGTAGAAAGAAAATGTTTTGAAAAAGATGATGACAACATATGTACACATGTGGTTGACACAATGGATGGATGTATGGATTGTGATAAGAGCTGTGAGAGCCTCCAATAAAATAAAAATAAAAATTGAAACCATTGACAAAGACTATATAATGATGGATTTCTAATAACCAGAGACACTTCATAAGTGATTCTAATTTGTTCATAGCATGGATCAGTTTTGCTCTAGAACTTTAAAAACAGTAAGGGTTGTTTTTCCGCAAGTTGCTAGTTTTGAAAAACAATGAAAGGCACAACCAATACCTTAGAATCATGACTTCTCAGAGCATACCAAATGGCTAAAGTTTTGCGGCTAAACATGTTCTCCCCACCACGTACTATCTTAACACATCAACGTACCTGAAAGACTTCATTTTTACTTGTTGATCGCCACCTTCCAGCCTAGAAAAAAAGCAAGAACAAATATCAAACTGCCTGACAGTTTATCTCTCATTCTTGAGACAGAAATAAATGTGACAGTAAGTCCAATCATTCTCCTTTCCATGAAGTATTTAATTATCGATGCAATGATTGGGTATATTATGACCTGAACTGATTTTTCCTTATCTCCCTGAGCTGTTCTCTGGCTGAGAGCCACGCGGGCCCCATCAGGGCAACAAAATGCTGACTGATAATGAGCAGTAGCGATGCTCTATTTAGAGACGATTTCATGCCAGTCTTGAGAAAGAATAGGCTTTTCTGGAAAAGACACTAAATAAAATAAAGATACTCACTTTATACTACTTGGCCTTTCCAAACTACCTGTGTTCACTAACTAAAAGAAACCTGAAGAAGATTTTGCTTTTATTAAAATCGACGAAGAGTGAAACGAGAGGCCAGGGCCGGTTTTGGAGGGAGCCCTTGAAGAGGCGGTGAGCCCCGAGCACCGAGAGTGGCCTGCCAAGCTCCTTCCCCAGGAACTACCGGGTATGGATACTTTGTATCGGCCCTGTATCTATCATAGCATGCCTGCTTTGACTATCTGGTAGTGTTATTTTAGGTTTTATGCATCAGAAGGTTTTGGTGTGATTTGATAGATTATTTTGGGGGTGAGGGAATAATAAGCTTTCTGGAGTTCCTATTATTAGATTTTTATCTCAATGTAACATTCATATTATTTAGATTTTTAGCTCAGTGTAACGTTTTACACGACAGTAACATATAAAACCACACTGAAGGTTTACCTTGAAAACTACCTTAACTGCATTTTAATGAAATGTGTGACTCTCCCTGAGCCCCGCAGAGACACATAAAACTGGAAGCTGACGTCATCGCCAAACATGCTCAAGGCTCCCATCCCTGGCCCCTCTTTCTGGAACCCTCTTCCTTTGATTTCTCAGACACCAGCCCCATTCAGAGCCCTGTCCTCTCACCTGTGGGGAGGCGTCCTCCCCTCCCTTGAC